AAACTAGTGAATGAAATTGTTTGAAACTTCATAAGAAGTTTCATAAATAAACATAGTTTAAGAAACATAAAGCCCGTTACTTTTGATAAATTTAGTTTTTTTGCATTATGATCTTTAATATCTTGGAAAATTACATTAGGAAATGGTATTTATAAGAAATGATTACGATATTTGTTGCAGATTTGAACTTATTACTTTTCATGCTTTAGTACATTATTTTAAAATCCCTAAAACCTTTTTATCATCCATAGAATGCAAATTTTGTCTATTCTTACTTTTTTTAATAATCATGTACTCTGCTTATGGTTTCAAGTAATATACAAAACCCGAAAATAGTATTTCTAAGTAAACCTAAACAATCAACGAGTATTTTTATTTTTAACTAGGATTTCATGTTTATATATGTACATAAAAAAACATTTTAATTTTGTTTCATAAATGTATTTTTATTTCAAGTTTATGTTTCATTGTAGCCATACTTTTGTTTATTGTGGCAAATAAATCGTGAGGTTGGCAGCTTGAACTTTGTACATTTGCCTTAAACTATCATGCCTGATGATGGTCACTCTCATTTAGTCCAGTACAGGCGTATTTGAACATTACTGTAGATATGATAGTAAGAACGCTTTTCTGTATTTGAATGTCATTTCTTTGAACTTTCAAACAAGTTTATTTGAACATATGTTCTTGTATGTTGTTTCACTACACAGACAAAACTAATTGCCACTACTAGCGAATGTATATAATAGTTTACAGTACAGGTTGTTTGAATAACATCACCTGACCCTAGTTACTTGATTCATCCTGTTAGAAGAGATTACCAAAGGATACAGATGCCATAAATTAAAAAAAAAATGACTTTACAGCACATAAAAGATTAGTCCTGGAAACATTCCTCTCATTATAGGCAAGATTTATGTTGGAATTTGAAACTTAGGCTCTTCAGTGTGAGAATTTCATAGCTTCCCCTGTATTATTGAGATGAATGTACTTAGTGTGTTTCACAACCAACGTATGGGTTTTATTGTTGTCATTTGTACACTGAGTTTTAAACCATTTGCAAAATATCAAAATAAACTTTATATATATCAGTTAGACTGTTTTAATTCTAAAACAACAACAACACAAGTGTGGGTCTTACTACAAAGTAAAGACAATAAGAAGGAAAAATATAAAATTCTTATGTGGTACTGGCACTAGTAGTAGTACGTACAAATCACACAAGTTTATCATTCTAAATACTGAATTATATTATTATTATTATTATGAACTAAATATAAAATTATGCTAAATTATTGAACTTAAAACTACTAATTTAAATGCAAAAGATTATAAAAAATCACAAACTCCTTCCGTATTGAGATGGAGACATACATTCAGTTCAGTGGTGTTTTTTTAGGGGACCTTTAGGTTGTACTTTCGAGTGATCTTTGACATTCTAGAGAGAATTCAGATTCACTTTTTCCAGCACCTTGCTTTATCAGCTTCTCATGAGGCCAATTGGATCAGCTGCATCTGATTCCTCTTCTTCCATTGGTACATCGAGTATGCTACGTTTTGAGTTTTTTTCCCGGTTGCTTTTGAATCTGCATCTTCCTTGATTGCTGAAAGGTCTGAGGGCGAGTACTTAGTTCTCACTCCATACCCTGATATTGTGGTTCATGCAAGGATGCTCACTGCTTAGTTATGTGAAAGAACAGCTATGCCTTGTCTGCCACGTTTGTCAGAACAACTTGCTTTCAGCTACTACTGCCAGGTGGAAGCATATTTGGACTCTCATAAAATAGGCCCACTCCTGAGACAAGCTGAGTTCATAGTCCATGTGATGAGGAAAGAAAAAGTGGAGCATGTAATAATAACCCGGAAGACAGAAGGAAGGAGAAGCAAAGAAAAACAAAGAATAAAGATGTTGGATAGATTCACAAAAAAGAAGCCATTAATAACAATGGAATTTTGGAACACCAGGGACAGAGAGAAATGGAAAGTCATGATCATCAGTGCCTGTGTGCAGGCATGACACTGGAGGAGAAGAATCAGATATCTTCATTCTGCTGAGGACTTCAGTTTCAGCTCACATGAACCATGCTAAATTAGTAAAAATTAATATTATACATATGATTTTTATACACCTATCATGTTTAGGTGACAATTTTTTACATGGTTCTTCAAATAAGCTTAGACTTTTTATGCCAAAGAGAAAAATTGCAAATTATAGCTTTCCACGTAGAAATTATTACAAATTTATTATACACAGAAGCCCAAACACTTCAATTGAATTGAAGAGTGTTACGATTTGTTACCATGCACTATGGGAGATAAACTTTCTAAATTGAAATTGTGGATTTTTTGCTCACATTGAATATTTTTTAATAAGTTGACACAACATGAAACTACAGTGTTCAGCTGATAAAAAATATTGTATATGATAAAGTAAATTTCAAATTTTTTGGGTAACTATCTTTTGTTGTTAAATGGTACAAGTGAAACCACTCTTTTGTTTGTTAATATTAGTACAAAATCAAAATTACTGGTTAAGTATATGAATTGTATTTGTATGTTATAAACAGTTGTTTACTACAATACTTCATAGTCTTACAAAAAAATAAGTTGATTCATCTGGTGGCATAGCACAAGAGCATTTTCAGATTTACAACTTCTTTCATTTGTTATTAGAACATACTTCAGTTGTGTGTACCTTATTACATATATATTTTCTAAAGAGCTGAAACACTAAGCAAAAGTTAGAAAAGTTTGTTTTTTTAAGATTTAGTTAATTTTTTGTTTTCTTGTGAATTGGTCAATTTAATTTTTTAAATATTTGGTAAGAACAAAGCATTTTGTTGTAGTATATGACCATATAAATTGAAATATGTTACTTTCTAGCCTAATGACAGACTTTGAAGAGATACTCATCCCTGACAGTGATGCTGAAGAGACAAATAGTGATAGCTGTGAGGAGATGAAAATCCCAGAAACTGAAGATTGTTATGGAACAAAACAGTGCCCATGTTTTTGTCATCTTCAATTTTGTGATCCTAGTTTTCAGGCTTGCAAAAGACATTGTAGTCAATGTGGTACAAAGGTAATATATTCTGTTATTGTTTTGATATGACGTTTCTTAGTAATTTTCTTCATTAAATTTATAAAGTTTCAGTTTTTCTTAATAAGTAGGGCTCATAATCAAAATTGTATGGAAATTCATTTGAGAGACCCATTATTTAGAACTTTAATTATGCATATTAGTATTGTCTGTGTTTTTTTTTTTGTCAGTTTTATGTAACCTTCATTAAATTGGGCTTGCTTGCAACTTATGTTGAATTAGGTCTCGTTTTATTTTTGAGATATGTTTGCTTCTTCAATTAAATTGAAAATGTTGGTGAATTTTATGTAGGCTTGAACAAATTATTAAATATTAAGATTTCTTGAGATTTAAGAGAAACAGGAACTATGATTATGATGTAAAATAACATTGACAATTTTGAGTTTATAATTAAATCTTGAGACTGCTGTTACTTCTAATTTGTAAATGAAGTTATTAACATTTTAGATATTTTCTAGTTTGGCTATTTATGCAAGAAGTCATACATACTGTTAGAGGAAGCTATCACTTTAAATATTTCAGCCTTTTTAAAAGTTTCATGAAATTGTTTTTAAATCAGAAATAACTCTTTAATAATAAATTATATGAATGAAAATAGTAAACACTACCATGTGCTACAGAATTAACATACATAGAATGTGTAGAATGTACACAGTTAGGCATGCTAAAGCACATTGTGGCACGTCTATGTTTTTTAATTCTTACCTGATGTTTGACAAATTTCCAACTAGGCAGAATGTCTAAAAATTACAAGTTATTAACTATTTTGTTAGTGGATATGCTTGCTTCTTCAGTTAAACTGTAAAAGTTGCTGAATTTTAGTTAAACTTGAAAAAGTTATTTTATCAATAAGAACACTAAAAATTTCTAGTTTTTTTTTCTCTTTTTCTGTATGTGCACAATTGTGAACTTTTGTACATATACCTGTCTTCATCATTCTTGAACCTAGAAATAAGTCTTATTTGAAATATAGAAACAAGTTAATATAATATGGCTAAAGAGTTTAAATATTGAAATATTTTTGTGTATTTTTGCAGAGCTTTAAACACTGGTCACATGTTTTTGTTAACTTGTTGCAAAATAATGGAAATGCATTGGGACAATAATATAGGTATGAGGATATAAAATCTTGTAGTTACTGAGATTTCAAATATTATACAACATAGGAATCAGATTGAATTCAAATTTCAAACTTAAAAGTATAAAGTCCCCATGTGACTCAGAATCATAACTATTATTATAAAAATTACACTAAGTGCTCAAAAGGTTAGTTTGTGTATATTTGTGGGAATATACTAAGAGGTTTTACCAAAGTGTGTATCTTATCAGTGGGTGGGTGACACTAATCACTTAAATGCAACAGATATTCTCACAGAGCCATTACTTAATCAATCTATGTGTATATGAAACTGTGTAACACTTAAAGTAACATATTTTACAGCCTTCAGTCCTCATTGATAGACTATAAGCAGAGAAACAAATGTATGAACATGTAATATCCACTAAATTATGTTATGTATGTGATTAGTGTACTATGCAGTGGATTGAAAAGTCAGTCATTCAAAGCATGAAGTATCAGCTGAACAGACTTCACTTGCTTAGTCAATCCCTGTATTTGGGTGCTGTTGACTAGCTTGTCATCAGTTCAAAGTTAGAGAAAGATACAATGGTGTAAAAAGTTATTGCATCACCCAATCTTTTTCACACTTTTCTTGGTTTCTGTAATTTTTTGTAAGATTTTGCATTGTGCAAATGTCAGAAATAGTGTAAAATAGTTATGAACATTGTATGGTTTAAGCTGACTCACATTTCAGGCATCTAAACACACATGTGCAACTTTATTAACAAACCAACCATCATAAATGTATTACAGCAGATGATCAATAAATACTTGGCAAATACAAAAATATTCACTGATTAAGGAAACCCAGATTTAAAGATGACACCACCAATATATTTGACAAAAAAATGGTTACAGAGTCTGTTACTTCTTTTATTATTTGATTGTCCCTCCTCTGGCCTTGACAGCTGCTTGACATCATCATGGAATAGTGTGTACAAGGGACTGAATGTAGGCAAGAGTGAGTTCATGGTGCCACATGCAGATTAGGACTTTGTGGAGTTCAAAGGTTATTCTCGATTTCTTCTTTTGCATTTTGTTATCCATTACCTTTGAGCAGTTTTTAATAAAATTGAGATATGGGCTGTTGCTTGGTCAGCATAGTGTCTTAATCCTCTGTCTTCAAAAATAGTCTTTCACCCAAAGCATTAAAATATAACTTAAGATGTCTTTTCAATATATGCAGAATGAAATTTCCTTAATATTTCACATCAGCTACACTTAATGCATGAATATTGCCATCCTTTTTAGCCCTGTGGCATGGAGCAGAGTCATCCTGGAATGTGCACTGGTCAGCTCCACTGAAGTGCTCCAGAATTGTTGGCTCTAACTGGGACTTGAGGATTTTGATGAACTTGCTGGTATTAACAGTGCCTTTCACAAAATGCAGACATCCCACACCCTTGCCAGATGCATCACCTATCACCTGACCTTGCGTATGCCTCACACTTGCATTCAAACATGCTGGATCAAACTTTTCTCTAAATTGATGTCATACAAAGTACTTCCAATCAGACCTGTGCCTATAACCATTCCAGAACCTAGTTGGAAAGATGGTTCCCCAGAATGGAAAAAAACAACTTTGGGATTTCATTTCTTCTCAACCAGTTAACTGTTTGGGCTAATGCTGTGTGTTTTCTAGATAGGAATTAGTTTATTTTATGCTTGGTTTCTATAGCTGTGTTACACAACACTGATGCACTAGATTTTGTCTAGGTAAACCAAGCAATGTCACTTGTGTATATGGAAATACTGTTCTTTCCTCTGATAAATATGCTTGTACAGTCTACTGTTCATGGGCTCAATATTGCTAACATTGGATGACTGTTCTATGGAACAACAGCTTACCTGTTGCACAGGTAAAACTGATGGATAAATTCCAAGGTATGTCTATCTCAAGGATGCTAATTCCAGATAAGAGGACAAAGTTTGATGGGATACTGTTGGTACTCCAGCCATCAGCACATCTTTTTGAGTATGAGATTGTAGGCTGATCAGTGTCAGGGATCTTCATAACTTGGGTAAAAGTCCTATATTCAGGAGAGGCCATCTCCTAGGCCTGACATCTCTCTGATGGCAAACTGTCCATCATAGTCATGAGTACTTCTATGTTCAGACTAAGCCATTCTTTTTGGTAAAAGTGTTCCTTTGATCTCCTCTAACTCAAGAAGTCAAGCAGAGGCCATTATACTATTAACAAAACAGAGAATTCTGCACTAGATCCTGTGGTCACACCACCAAAATTTCCCCTTTTTTGTCTACTTGTGGTGTTGTCAGATAAACTGACTTGTGTGCAATCATCAGATAGGACTGCATAATAATGGGACGATTGAACAGGATTTAAAAACTTGACTAATTTTAAGCTGTGTGAGAAATAAGAAAATTAGACAAATTTAATATTAGTTACACAATCTTTATTCCAAATAAAGCAAAAAAACTGCATACTTACACAGACAAGTAGACAATTGCCTCTACTGTATCAGTAAATAGATCTCTGTGGAACTACTCTCTTTGAAAACCAAGTAGAATGGAGAAAGAACCAAGGTTCCAGTCTAGCAAAAAACCTCATTTTCTTTTGGGATAGCATCACTGTACAACTGATTATTCTTTCACAGCATTTGTCAGCTGAAATGTACACCATTTTTTTCACAGTCAGTGAAAAGACACTGCAGTCATTATGCTACAACATTCATGCTGGCAAAGTAGATGTTATCTGCTATGAGAACAATAAAGATGTAAAGGTGACTAGGACTAGGCAATTTTCGTGCTTTTGTGGACCAAAACTGTATAGAAACAGGCTTGGTGAAAATTTTAAACATTCCATTAATAAAGATAGTAGAAAACACAATATGCTCGGTTTTCACTGTAGTACACAATGCATGTGATTGGCCAAATTTACTTTCTGAAATGACATTATCTGCATTTTATCTAATGCTAATACTGTGCAAAATTCAGTATGAGGATGATTTCAGTCATCTTACTCATCTTACTTGGCCAGCATCATCACTGAAACCCTGTCCTGTTGAGCACTTTCTTAATAAACTTGAATGTTACATTCATCACCATAATTAGCAAATTGATTTCAGGCCTTACTTCTCATCAAACAGCTACAATAAAACACCCTGTGAAATTTATATATTACCAAGCCCTGGCTACTTGAGTAACAAAAGTTAATTAACCAGTCAGTGTGTTAGTTATTGTAATACAGCTGACAGAGTACAGTAGATTAACAGTTGTAGTTAGTATGACAGTAAAACAGTACTTAAAGGAGAGGGAAGTTTTATATAGTCTAATACCTGGAGAGTACAAGAGGAAATGTTACAGCTCTCTGCTAACATAGCCATCAATGTTTGAGTTTACAAATCATGAAATCATACCTATTATAGCACTTTATAGTTACTTACTACACCATTACTTATGGCAAGTACATATTCCTACAATAACAGCTAACCACCTGCTATTTTGATTTGGAAGTGCTTGCTATTTGTACAGTTTTATTGCAGATATTATACTATGCTAAAAAGGTTAACCTACATTTATTCCACCAACGTTGTTTTTTATTTGCAAAGAAACTACCATTTTTAGAAAGAAAACTTGACTAATCTGACAATTTCACAGTTTGTTTTGTAGCTAATGAATTGATGAAGCATTCTCTATCAATACATATCTTTTTATAATCATTTAGAAAAATATAAAAAGTTTTTGCACAAGCTACTTTTTTATTTGAGTGATTGTTTGATTTAGAACTTGGTGGTCAGTAATTGAGTTCACAGATCTTCTCAGAACATTAAAGAATGTTTTGTCACATGTAACTCAGCTGATATTTAGTTTCTGCTATGTTTCTCTACTTCCATTAATTTTGTTGATTTTAAGCATACATTCATGTCTGCCAAATGAAAAACTGTATTGACCAGTGAACTAATTGTTGACCTAACCTTTTGACAAACAGGCTACAGTAACAACAAAATACCTTGTATCTTCTGGAGTTTGATCAGAAGTTAATGATGGGTAAATGAAGCTAATTTCTTTGTAAAATTTTTGATACATTGTATAATTACCAGAAAATATTAACATACCCTCAAAGTTTGTACAGAAGAAAAAAATTTTACATAACTCTTTCTACATGGTTCGGTCAAATTGATTGACCACATGACCACTTAGTACTTGCTTAATGTGTGTTATAATTTTGATACTACTGACTTTTAATATAGTATGTATATCTTCACAAAATTTGGCAGAATTTCAGTAAACATTACAAGTCATTCACATACAAAAAATCAGATTTGTCCGTAAATATATCGTCTTTCTTTTTACTATTCCGAGTGCAAAGTGATTTTCATGTTGAGATTAAAAGTACTTTTTTCATCTCAAAAATCTCATATTTCATTTGGGTAATCTCTTAAATTTCCTAAATACATTTCAAATGTTTGTTTTCAGTAAAACTTTATACTTTATTTATTATTTTCTCTACTCTATCTCTATACAAGGTTAGTCAGTTGGACTGACCTCATAACCACAAAAAAAATTGAAATAAGTCTAAATTGTTCTTTTCTTTCTAGAATGACTTCAAATTGTAACATGAAACTACATTTGTTTATCTAAGTAGCTTTAAACTCGTAACAGTATACATCTATTTATATTTCAATTTTATTCTTTTATTGCCCTTTGAACCATGTTTACCTGCTATTCGTGCCATTATAAATTATAAGTCACTTGGGAAACATGAAGCTCATATTATGCTATTGAATTACATTAACCACGAGCTACTCTGAGCTGCTTGTGTGCATGCCTCGTGAAACATTATTATTATATTATTATTACTTGTTTTACCTAATCTAACTTTAACTAACGTAAAGAGATTCCTATGTTACATTTTAGTTATTTTATAATAATAAATAAAGAATATACATGAAAAACAACAAATAAAGTACTTACTCAGGTTTTCTTTTTTTTGCTGTCGATTGTAGATGACACTTAACACTACATTTTTATGCTAATGGTAGTAATGCACTAAAAATTTTTATTTAATTAAATAACACACCAAAGAACATAGAATAATAACATGCTAAAAGCAGACAATGTCCCATAACTATCACAATTTTTCTGGCTTTCTAACTTTGCAGCAAGAGCCATTACAAATTCATCCAAGATAGTCGACAGATTTCTGTTGGGAACATAGCTTGTATGAAAGAGAAATTGACAATTGTCTGTTCAGAAAACAACATAATATAATGATACATCATTTGATAGATTAAAATCTTGGCTTTCTGTTGGTTATAAATAACAGTATTAAACATAAGAGAGAACTATTAACAAATCCTGAAAGAAAGGATTTGACAGGTGGTGTGGCATGAGGGGTCTGATTTTCTACTTGATAACTCTCTAACCAAACAAGATTGAAGGCTTTGAAAACTATGGTTTGTCTGAGTGATGATGATTTTAGAGTGAGTAATTTACATGGAGGAGCGGGGAATAAAATAGAAAAGAGGGGGTGCCTAGAGAAAATGTCACATTTTTCACAGTAGGGGAAATTCAAGATTTTTAAAAATATTGCCTTATAAAATCAAGAACTTAAAAATTTGTATACTATTAAAATATAAAGTGTTAGCTATGATTTTATGTTATACTAAATGGTGTAACTTAAATAAAAAGTATTTAAATTTTGAATGTATGTCACTAAAAAAACCTTGTCACATACATAGTTAAGGATGCCTGTGCAGAGGGATAATGTAATTTCCAATTTACATGGTTATCTAAAAAGGAAAATTCACCTGCTTAAAATCATCTTAGTTAGTATTGCATTTTAATATTGCATTTTAATCAGCTTTAATGCAGGTTTGAAAATTATTATCAAACTTCAGAAGGGGAAATTTAATTTGCTTGATGGAATATTATTTCTACTCAGCTATTGCTAGTTGTATTACTAACTAAAAGATATGTGAGGAAGGATTGAAAAACACCGGTGCTTTTCTTTCTGACCAATAATTTATGAAACTGATGTTCAAAAGACCAGTCTAAAAATTGTTAGTTAAAATTTTGTGATTTTATGACATGAACAATTTTACTGCATGGGTAAATAAACTGTTTCTTCTTCCATTTATGATGAGCTTTTTTTGTAACAACCGTGACTAGTAAAACATACCTTTAGTTGCATATCGTTGTCTTGTGTTTTTTAGTTGCAATTGTATTATATATATATATATATATATATATAG